TATATATATATATATATATATATATATATATATATATATATATATATATATATATATATATATATATATATATATATATATATATATATCATGTTGGACTCATGGATTCACATTTTCAACCTTTTGGAGTGACATAAGGTCGTTGCACCTTCGAGTAACATGACATCTATACCATCAATATGAACCTCAATAGGATTCAAGGATCATACATAGTTTCTTAGAATAACTTTATATGGAATGGACAACCTTAGTTGCTAGGAGTAGATCCATTATGAAATAGCATATCGTTTACGTTCATTTCACTTTAGATCATGCCAAAAGAAAGAAGTAAGTGCCTTAACATATCTTTGCAATCTTCTCTCCAATCAGCAACCAAGCTCAATATGATCTTCTTACGTCTATAATGAGTAAACTGATTTCATCGTCATCATATAAGCGTTGTAACTCTCATATTTTAAAACCAATATTCTACAGACAAAAAAAAATGGAAAACATCTCCCCTATTTTACTACATCCTACAAGTTACTAAAAGTCACCAAATAGACCAAACAACAACAATATAATTCACAATAAGCTCTCTGATTACTTCAACAACTATTTTGAGTTGCAAGCTCGATTTACAATTAAAAAAATATAATTTAATCCAATTCCTTTTCCATGAATCTGCCTACAACATCTATAACATCATATATATGCTTACCATATCATTTTCAGCCCAAAACATCATAAGAATAATCTTCAAAATAGTCCACACGCCTAGCACCTTAACCTTTATCGTCAACCTCTTGTTTTTCATGTTATCTTCTTCAATCAACTTAATTAGCATATGGATGAGCTTAACAACAACAACTACAACATAATCAAATTATTTATAACACTTTCCAGCCACAACAAACTATTTATATAGCCTAAACACAGCCCACAAAAAAAAAAGATAACGATTCCTTATGCTATGTCAATTACTATCTTGTAGATTTTCACTCAAACAAGTCAATCAACACATGATTAACTTTAAGCACAACCAAGAACATGATTTACTTAACTTAGGCAGTAGATACAACTTGAAATCCCCAACTGGTGTGGCTCACAACAATCCTCAGTCACACCACAACACTATAGGAGTTGTATTCTCTTCTTGAATCAACTTTTGTGTTCAAATAGGTGTGTAAACACTTATATTTCTCCTTGAAACTATAATATATATATATATATATGAGGTAGGGATAGATTCTTACCTTAATCAACAAGAACAAAACGAAATCTGAAGTTACATCACTTTGAAGCATCCTCCAAAATAGCCACGAGATGAAGAACTACGACATAGGAAGCACCACGGGATTCCTAGCGATGGATTCATGTTTTCACTCTAGAATCATGGATATTGCTTTGAGAGTGTTTGGGGAGAGTATAGGGTCTGGTTGGGTCGACAAATGACCCCAAATGAGCCTTGACCCGATCTTTAAAGGTTGGAGAATCACCCACCGCCTAAGTGGTTTTCATGGGAGCTGCTTGCGCAGTCTCACAAAAACGTGAATATCTCTCTACACCGACGTCATATCAACGAATGGTTTAATGAGTTGAAAATTAGAATCGTAGACCTTCAATTTGGTATGTGGATAATACCTTAATTCCAAGTATATTGGGAGAAAAGCTCATCTACATTTGGCCTAATTTTCAGCATATTATGAATGTAACTTATGATGACCTTTGCCAACTTTTGTTCCACAACTCGCTTGACTTCAAAACGTAACACTCGACTATCATACGATTAAAATACCTCATAACATAGCCTCTTATCATGTTAAGCACCCTAGTCTCACCCCAAAAGTACATGTTATAACATTCCAAACTTGTTGAATTTCGACGAAACTTATTTTCTTCAATTTGTTTAGCTTCTAAGCTTTTCAACCCTCTTGGTACTTGTTATTCATGATCTTAAATATTTGTAACTTTAACATGATTAACTTACTTTATGTACTTTCAATATAATCTCATTTCTGAACTTACATCAATTAACTTATGACGTACTCTCACGTACGAAAACATGGGGTGTAACAAAAAAAAAACCTAACTTAACTAACAACATGCAAAATCATACGAAATCGAAACAAAATCAAATAATAAACAACTAACAACATACTAACACATGATCAGAAATAGTGCAAAAGAATTTACCCGTCACAATCAAAATGACTCTTGATTGAGTTCAAAAAACCTCGACAAAGAAGCTCAAGCTTCGATTATTTTCTTCAAGCTTCGATTATTTCCTTAAAGCTTCTATTTTGAGTTCAAATCTCACTTCGCATTGAGAATTTACAAAGAATCAAGCTAAATTTTGGAGGGATCGAAGAAGTTAGAGAAGATAGTTGGAATGGGTTTAGGGCATGGATCTGATAATGACTTTTACCTTCGGGTTGGGTGAATTAAAAGTTTTAACCCACTTTGTATCAAAAAAATAGAAGGAAAAATAAATTATTATAAGGGTGCATAACACGCGCCGGGTAGCTAAAGTTGTGTGCCAGCTGGGCCGAGAAGATGTATTTTAATTCACTAAAAATATATACAGGGGGTCATAGGACACCCGTATTTTTAAGGGGCGCAACTGGAACTTTGTACAACCCCATTGGGGTAATTGTGTATATCCCTTTAAAAACTCTAGAACACTTATTTTACTTACGTTAAATAATGAGTTGTTAAAATGCTTATGAGTTATGACATAGTTTAGTTCAACATATTTAGGTTCAAGAATTTTACGTTTGACTATGAGACAAGAACACCAACCTCGTGCCATTATGAACATATACCTTTCCCAACATATCAAAAGCTACATATAAATCCATTCTCTCACTCTTCATTACCATCATATGAACATATAATATTCATAATATCTTGAAAGCTAACATACAAATCCGACCTCTCAACTACAGGAATATAAAGCACAATAACACCAAGTCTATCATTCAGTTACCAACATAGCACGTAAACTGGAACAAGGTCACTTCTGCTGTATCTTCTAGTATATAGAGTTCAAAACTGCAAGCAAATCCACATTCCACACTATTGCAAAACCTCTGATTACATGAGAAATATAACCACAACTGTCTCAACCTGAGAAGCAATAAAACACAAGCGTTAGTCTCTTCTTAAGACGGCTCTTCAACCACTTTCACTGCTTACCAACAAAATTGCTTTATAGGAAAAATAAAGCACTACCAAACTAGATTATAGTACATAATGAAACCATCCAAGCCAAAAAGACAACCAAAACTAAAATACTGCTCCCAAGATCACTTCAAATGCACCTCCTACAATCCGACCAGACCAACAAAAAAAAAAGAGTTATTATAAAAAAAATAAAGGACTCAAGATCCCACCAACCTTAGAAGCATTTCCTGTGAACAATTGCAGGACCAGATTCATCGTACTCAGCCTTTGAAATCCACATCTGCATATTAACTAGAAATTAGCGCTAATCCCTCAAGCTTGAAGAGTTAACAAGAGGAAATTCAAAAATAAATCTTCTTTTTTTCGTTTGGCTTTAGTCAAATAGAGTGAAGGAAAACTAACTTGTTGGAAAGTACTGAGAGAAGCTAGAATTGACCCTCCAATCCAGACACTGTACTTCCTCTCAGGTGGTGCAACCACCTTGATCTTCATGCTGCTTGGAGCAAGAGCAGTGATTTCTTTGCTCATTCGATCTGCTATGCCAGGGAACATAGTTGAGCCACCACTGAGTACAATATTTCCATATAAATCCTTCCTAATATCCACATCACATTTCATGATTGAGTTATAGGTTGTTTCATGAATTCCTGCTGCTTCCATTCCAATCAACGATGGCTGGAAGAGAACCTCAGGGCAACGGAACCTCTCAGCACCAATAGTGATGACTTGTCCATCAGGAAGCTCATAGCTCTTCTCAACTGATGAGCTACTCTTTGCTGTCTCAAGCTCCTGTTCAAAATCCAATGCAACATAGGCAAGCTTCTCCTTCACATCACGAACGATTTCCCGTTCAGCAGATGTGGTAAACATATAGCCTCTCTCAGTGAGAATCTTCATGAGATAATCAGTAAGATCACGACCGGCAAGATCTAACCGCAAGATGGCATGGGGAAGTGCATATCCTTCATAGATGGGGACAGTGTGGCTCACACCATCACCAGAATCAAGCACAATACCTTTTTGAATCACAACAATCATATTAATAATGGATTACAAGCAATAAAGAACCAGAAGATAACAGAAATTCTGCTTACCAGTAGTACGACCACTAGCATACAGAGAAAGAACGGCCTGGATTGCAACATACATGGCTGGCACATTGAAGGTCTCAAACATGATCTGGGTCATTTTCTCTCGGTTTGCCTTGGGGTTAAGTGGTGCCTCAGTAAGAAGAACAGGATGCTCCTCGGGAGCAACACGAAGCTCATTGTAAAATGTATGATGCCAAATTTTCTCCATGTCATCCCAGTTGCTGACGATACCATGTTCAATCGGATATTTCAAAGTCAGAATACCTCTTTTAGACTGAGCTTCATCACCAACATAGGCATCTTTTTGCCCCATCCCGACCATTACTCCTTGGTGTTTAGGACGACCAACTATACTAGGAAATACAGCCCTTGGAGCATCGTCTCCAGCAAAGCCAGCCTTAAAAAAAGAATATGAGTCACTATATTTTAACATGTCACATAGGGAATAATGCAACAAACTTAAATGATAATAAGTTAAATCTGCAAGCTATTTTTTCTAGCTAACCTTAACCATTCCAGTTCCATTGTCAACAACGAGTGGTTGAATGTCCTCACCTTCGGCCATCTTCTAAGGACTACAAATATTAAAAGTAAAAGTACAATTTAGATGAGAAATCACTGGTACAAATGCAGAGCCAAAGTAACGAATGTTAACAATATCAGCATAGCTCAGTTTGTGCAATGGATTTTGTGCCATAAATTGCTTACACCGCCAATTTTCTTATTTCTCTTTGCAATTTGCTCTCAAGATCTAAGATATATCAATTCCCTTTATACAGAAAAAAACCTGCTGTTACAACCAAAGAACTTCCCCTACTCCTAAAAGGAGAACAGAGAACAAAAACAACAGAAACAACATTGCAGAGTGTAACTAAGATTCAAGAAAAACACAATAGGAAGGAGAAACAAGGGCCAACAGATGCAGTTGAAGTTCATCCATGTTAATATCTGGGCAAACTTGATATGCGACTCTGAATAACTCGAGTTGAGTTGTATACACACTTATACATATTTTTTTATACTGAGCTAGTGTTTATTGATGCATTTTGACTTATCCAAAAAAAAAAAAAAAGACAGGAGAAAACATGCATGTAATGACAAAGGGAAACAAAATGCATTTTATAGAACGTTGGCTTATTACTCCCTCCAAATATATCTTAGCAAAATTCCACAACAGGACTATGGCATGCATCTCAACACTAAGAAGAATACTGTCTACATTAAATGAAAGCAGAATTAGACTTACTCAGGAGTCGGGACAAAATAGGACAGAGGAAATGAAGTATAATAAAGTCGATACCAAAATATATGAAAACTGTTTGAAAAAATTATTGGTCAAAGAGAAAACCTCTTTCGACTCATCAAATATTACCAGCGTCACCTTAATTTAAGAAAAAAAGGACAGATGAAGTATTCATTAAAAGATAAAGAAAACGAGCCCTTGTATTAACAAGTTTTGTAAGAGATCATCCAAACAAAATCAAAAACTAAGAACCCCAAAATTCACTTAGCAATAAAAAGTCGAGCAAAATCAAAGAAAATAGCCAGGACAACAGGGTGAAAGTGAAGACAACGAACAAAACAGGAAATCGCAAAATCAAAATATTAAACAACTGAAGAGGGTTTGGTGATTATCAACAAAAATTGAAAAGAAATCAAACCCTTTTTGCTGTTTGACTGACTAGCGGGTGAAGAGAAGACTCCCCTTTTTTCTAAACAAAGAGAAGGCGCTAGAATACCGTAGGATGAATATTTAAGGAAAAACGAATGTGGGTCCCCTCCCCCTGTATCTTTGATTCCTTTAAAGGGGTATCAGGTAAATGAAATGAAAATGAATGTGGAATTCGGATGAGATTTACATTTTTCTCTATTTTTTAAGCTTACAGAAAAAGATATATTCTTTTTGGTACATTAGAAAAAAGAGATAGATAGATATATATACACACACAGAGACAAGTCTACAACGCACTCTAGTGAATGTTAAATACTTAATCCTTAATTAAGTATATATCTCATGCAAAACTGTATTTTTTGTATATCGCTTTTAAGAGTAGTACGTTTTTGCTCTATTTTTTGAGTTACGTAACTCTCCGCGAAGGCTTAACAACAACAACTACAAACATTCCCAACAAGTGAGATCTAAAAAGAGTAGTCTATATGCAAACCTTACCTAATGAATGTAAAGAGGATGTTTCCAATAGACCCACTAAGGCAAATACTGGCTAATCTTTAAATAAGATCCCTGAGAATGGCTATTTGTACACTTGTCCCTTGATTTGCGCCACCGAGAGAAAGGAAATACAAACTCCTAACAAAAGCATTTTGATTCCTGGCAGCAATCTCTATCAAAGCCTCTAGAAGGCCCATCAGGATGGCACGGAACAATAAGTTGAGGAAGTTAACCAGAATCATATTCCAATAATCCCATCATATCCAAGGGTAATATCCAAAGAGTCAAAATATATAATAATGTTTACAATTCAAGAATTAGCATACAGAAGCTTGAAAATGTTCGAAAATAAAAGATTTCTAAAAGATTTGAAGTTTCAGCAACAATCAATCGGTACTCTTAAGTAAGGTCTCACTGCTTTTCTCTACCTTTGTTCATTTGCTCCACCTACAAAAGATAGATAAATACATGATTCAGTAAAAAAAACTTAAAAACCCTTTTAAGATGTCAAGCACTAAGGTCAGGACAATCTTTCATGATATGATGAGTCAACCGCATGGTACTACAACTAAAATAGAGATGGAGATAGATATGACAAAAAACACAAATAAAAACACAAAAAATAACTAAAATACAACATTTCTAAAATAACTTGATGAACATCAGCTCTATCTTCACCAAGTGGCAGGTTATAAGCTCAAGAATCACTTGGAGGCAGCCAACATCTAAAACGTACTGTCAAACAAATGAATTAAAATTTAGTCAGGACCATTGGAGGCGTGCAACCTAAACGAATGCGTCGAATTTCATTATCCACAGAAGGCTATCAAGTGTTTTAACTACATGGAATCGCATGGAATGAGAACTATGAGACTGAACTGACCATCAAGGATTTTCAATTAACAACATGAAAGAGATGCGCGTATGTAAAAACGCATGAACAGGGGGCTCAATACAATGATTAACACACGCAGACTTCATCAGTAAAGGATCCTAATCATAAAGGCAACATCCATTGATTCAAGTGAATGATCATGAGAGACTAAGCTAATTCAAAGATTAACTCTAATGAATCAAAAAGCACTGACAATGACTCATTACAAATTAAAACAGAGAAGACCAAAACCCAGGCAAATCATGATTTATTCTGCAGAATTATCCTCTAATCATAGCAAGTAACTACCTTATTCATATCAAAGTAAAAAATTCATAGCCATCTTGAAGTCCATAGTTATCACTTCAGACAAAAAAGCTTCAGACAAAAAATCACACAAGCAGAATATAACTAACATGCATCACAGAATACACGAGTTTATAACAACAACTACCCAGTATAGTCCCACAAGGTGGGGTCTGGGGAGGGTAATACGTACACAGGCCTTACCCCTACCCGAAAGGGCAGAGAGGCTGTTTCCAATCGACCCTCGGCTCAGGAACGAATACACGAGCTTATGTTAAGTTTAAAATTAAGATGATACAAAAAATTAAGAATGCAAGTCTGTCTCTTGTATCAAAGTAAATATTAAGATTCCAAACTACGATTGGTTGGAAAAGGAAGATTCAAAAACATATAAAATTTGGGACTCACACGTGGTTCTTAAGATTCATTTTTGAACTGGATCATGTACCTTGCAATCATATTTTTCTTTTTCATGCGCTTTTTATGCTGGGACCAGTCAGCAGTTATTTTAGTTAATTTCACATTTATCATCTTCTTAAAAGCCAAAGAAGAACGTAGAAGCCTGTGGTTTATAGTTATTTCTATAACTGTTATAATGGGTCTTGGAGGCCTAGTACAATCAGATGCCTCTAGGATGCTTCATAGAGTTTCTCAGGTGGTTTTCCTAAGATTGCTTCAACGAACCCGAGGATTACCAACTTGAAGTTGGTGAATGAAAAAGAGAGAGAAGCTACTAATTTTGCTGTTCAAAACAAAAAACTTGGCCAAAGGCTGCTTATGCTTTTGAATAATGAGAAATCACGTTATTCAGCTAGTTTACAGGTGCAAAACTAGGGTCTATATGAAGGAAGATATCCAACTCTAACTAGATAGAATATAGATCAACAAAGTTAATTCAGTGGATCCTATAAGAAAACAACTTATTTAATCTTATTCGGAATTCCCTCACTAATAACACCAGTAGAATCTTCTGCTGGTCAGGCAAAAATGATGGAAAAGAAAATTCTTCTCATTTCTCGGAATACCCCTTTGTCTCCTTATCAAAAAAAAAAAAAAAAAAAAAAAAAAAAAAAAAAAATCTTCTCACTGTTGCCCTCAATTTTGTTGACAACAAAGAATAATCAACCAGTAGTAGTTGGATTAAGCACTAAAGAGTAATTCCATTATAGTAAAACCAGAACCATAGAAAGTAGAAACTTTATTCCATTTATTTCATTTGAATATATAACAGAAGAGGTCGCTTGAATCATAAAAATTGACAAACTTTAAGACATACCTGAGGGACCGATGATGGAAGGTGGAGCATTTGAAAACCAGGATAACAAGCTTGGAAACGAGCAATGAATTGTAGATGCTCAAGAAACTTAACGCTACATTAGTGGACCACAAAGTCACCAGACAAAATGGTCATGAAATTCTGATGGGACTAATTCATATATCCCTTCATGCTCATTATGAGAGTGGTCTTACTATATTTGTGTGTTGGGGGGATGTTTGGGTGTATATTGCAGTAACATTTTGCTCGAGATTTTGATGTATTCAAAAAAAAAAAATGGTTTCCAAGATTTTATGAACAATCATGATTTCTATGATTTTATGGATGAGCATAAAACCTGCAGACAAACAAATTATACAAACCAGCAAAAATATGCCATCTTTCAACTCTTTCATTAATTCATTAACATTCAGTTTCAAGAAACCTCTCACATGATATGCAGAACACAAGATAAAAGAACACAGCGTAGGTCAAGAATGTTCAGCTAGCTTGCTCTAAATCACCTTCTTAAAGCAACGCACAGTTGGATGATGAATTCAATTGCTTAATCAAATGCCTCCTATTACTGCTGTCAACTACAATAGTTGGATTTACATTTACGCCTGCTCTGGAAAGAACAGAAAATGGGGGAAAACTATCCGTTAGGCTGGAAAAGAATGCTTCAAATAATTTACGTGTATCCAAAGACCTGAAAGAGAAGCTTCCTGCCACTTACTTGAACTTGTTAATCTAGCATAAGTAACGGCAGTTGGGATGATATAACCTGTAAGAAGATGAAGCAATTCAGATTAGAACTTTAAGGGGAAAAAACAACACGAAAAATTATTAAATTTAAAGCAATTCAGAATATGATAGTTGCTCTCCAACTGATATTAGTCCCAAGAGGTTCATTTGGTTTCTCACACAAACTTGTTAGATGCATGGAGGATGGTCTAATAAGATTGAGACATTCTATGGTATAAAAGAGGCTAAAGCTACACAAACAACCCTTATCAAATAGTAATATGCTGAAGTTGAAATGTAATATAACTAACGAGGTTGCACATGCTTCTAAGCTGTCAAGAAATACACTACGAGACTATGAGCATGTGCAGATTTGTTTGAAAGTTGTCAAGAAGGAAAAAAAACTGACTTCCAAGAAATGAGTCGATAACATCATAAATGGATGATTTTATATCAGTCAAGACATTTTCAAAGTTCAGTATGACTAAAAGATGTTTGTTGGACACAAAGACTCAAGATGGAGTGGAACCCAATGGTCGTTAAAACCGTTAGATCATAAGACAGCAGCACTGTCAGAATGCCACTGCGATGAAATATCAAGGTGAAGATCAGCAGAAACCAATGTTGTCCACTTGTTCCCTAAACAGTAATCATAGACCTCATTTCAACCAAGATAATGCTTCTCTTACAAATGCCAATCAAGGATTGAAAAACTAAAGTGGAGAAAATTGTCATCTGAAATACCTCAAAAGTACTGTCAAATTGTAAGATTCTTGAGCACGGAAAGAACCACGATCTCTTCGGTTTAGAATTAAAAGCAAAACAAGGAGAGAGTGATTGTTTTTATTATCTAGAACAAAGATATGCAGCAATAAAGAAATCCAGGATTTCAATCTTGTTTCTATGTATTACATTGCAGCTCCTCTATTGGCGCCTATATAATGTTAAGCAAGATATAAGAGAATAGCAACAAAGAAAAGTACTTTTTTCCTGGAACTTTAATAAAGAAAAGTCTTGGAGGACATAAATTAAACAGACACATAATCAAAAAAGAAAAAGAAAAAGACACAACTCATAGTTTTTACTAAATAAGTTAGACAACTTAGATCATGAACAAGCAGAATTAACTTCAAATGTGAGAGTGAAACATGGCAAACAACAACAAAAACAACAACAAACCCAGTATGTTCCCATCAGGTGGGGAAGAGTGAAACACGGCAAACCACTTAAAAAGTAAACACAAGAATTGCATTATCAAAGACCAACCCTTCTCAATGTTGGATTTTAATATTAGTATGGGGGCTTTAGTAAAGTAATTTGCAAAAATGAAGGAAAAACAAAGTACAGAACTTGCCTACTACTTGTCTACTAATGTCTATGTCTGGACATTATGGACTTGACCAAGTCCAATATCCGAACATAGTCATAAAATAGGGAAGACTCTTTGCCTTCAAGCCCATCCCTGCTCACTCTGTTACTGCCTGCAAGGTTATTGCACGGGCTTCCACCAATTACCAAATCAAATCCTCCAAATGACTCTATCAGTTGCTCCAAGCGGTCTCCATTCAGCTGCTGCACATCGTTAAAATGTATAAGATTCCCTCTCTGATTAGTTTGCTCCCACCAGCTTCTCACAATATCCCTGTTGACTTCAGATTTTTCCACAGAAACCACTGTTTTTAGTGGAATACCGAGACGATAAAGAGCAACTTCACCACCGCCAATCCCAGAGAAGAGTGATAAGACGTTGATACCACCGGGAAACAAGTCTTTCAATACCGACAAATGGTATGCCACAGTGTCAACCTAATCGACATGATCGATCCAAGTATCATGTCAAAAGTTATTCTAACAAAGAAAAGAAATTGAATAAGCCAATAAAAGGAGTAGCTTCACTATATTCAACAAACCCAAGTTCATGAGAAAAAGGGGAAGGAGGGAGAAAATAATAAGACTTATATATGAGTGAAATAAAAAAGAAAGAAGGTCAGGCTAACCTGGAATGAATTACCAAGCGACTTGTATCTATCGGTCCTACTTATACCACCTCCCCTGGTATGGTTCTTTGGAAATCCCAATAGCATTTCAACTTCATCAGGCTCCAAAGGAGCAACTTTGTTTCTCCCAACCCACACCAAATTCCACTTCCGACATTGATCAAGAACAAACTTCTGAACTCTCATTGGTGGCTCACCATCATAGTCCTCCACAGCCTTCCTAATCCTATTCGTCAATTGTGCACTTCCAATGGCTGTTTGCAAACAATTTAACTTTGTCCGTGGATCCCAAGATGGCCACCATTTCTTTGATAGGGGAAGTGCCTCATGAATGGTACGTGGGGCAAGCGGAAACAAAGGAAATCTATTTTCAACCGGCAGATTATGAATATAACCCCTTTTTCTTGCGGCGGCACAAAAATATTTGGAGTCGACAAACTCGGGCTCAATATCATACAAAAATCTAGAAATTGTGTCCCACACACCCTTTGGAGCTAGAGCCACATTTTCATAGTAGAAAAATGGGGGTCCAACAGCTTGCTCGGGAAGAGTTCTTCGAACCATTGCTGGAACTGGTTCGGTAGGAACTCCAAATCCAATCATAGGTTTAGGCAAACGAATTGTCTCTTCCTCAAAAATCGCCTTTGCCTTTTTTCTTTTGCACAATTCATTGTACATCTTCCTCTTCTTGTATCCACCACTACCATTCAATATATGGTTCAGTTTTGGCTGTTACAATGGAAGGAAAAAAGCATCAATCCTATGGCAAATGATACTGAGAATTTGCAATTATAAATGCAAACAAAGTTGGACAGATTGTTAGTTCACATGAGTCCATTTCAAAATAATGCGAGGGGAAAGCAGACCTTTACATCTTCTGGCAGATAGACATCTTCTGCTCTTGCCATTTGAGCAGCACATATGAAATCTGTCAATTCAGCAACCGATGCTTCTGGACCTAGAAAGTTGTGAATAGGACATTAATAACCTAGAAATGAAATAAACAAAAGGTGCTACAGTTCTAATAAGATATCCAGGAATATCGTAGTGTCAATAAGCAGATATTGTTCTAATTTCTAAATACATAACTAGGAACTCAACAGAGTAGCATCTAACCTAGAACTTGCATGAATAAGATTTCTTCCGCCATTGATAAAATCTTAGCATAACTAATACATATCAAAAGCCAAACTAAATGTCTAATCAGATAAAAAGATTTAGATCACATTAGTTATGTAGAGGACAATGCACTATTTAAAATACGAACCACATCTCTCCATTGCTATGGAAACCTCTTCCATGGGGTATCCCATACTTGCCAAGAACAATAAAGTCTTCTCTTTTTCAGACGAAGAACTGCTCTCAACTTTCACGTAGCATTGTTTAGCAGAATTCTATCACAGTTGCAAAAGGAAAATGTTAGAAAAGCTTTATATAATTGTGCCCAGAAAACTTGTAACAAAATTCAGGACCAGCAAACATCTTAAGTGGTTAAAAAAGTACAAGTTGATGCATAAATACGTGAAACAAAAGGTTCTTTAAGCCCCAAAAATAGTGAGCAGCTAAAATTTAATTTCGAGTCACACTCGTCCAACTTTCAGCATACTTTTACAGGTCACCGCCTCCTCATTTGTAGAAATTACTCCCAAACAAACCGCTTCTATGTTTCCCCAAATCCTACATTGAAAGAAAAATGAAAATATCTAGTGCATCCTCCAACTGGAAGAACCTGATGACTGTCAAAGCTGAAAATCATAAATACCTTTAATTTTATTTTGTAGTTGTCCGCAAATTTGTAAAACTAAACCACCTCATATTACTCATATAATGTAGTAGGAAAAGAAGCCATGGTTGTTCAAAAATACCATATCACTGACATTGCATTACATAAATGACGTGTTACAAAGATCAAAAAGGTGCCAGATCAAAAAAATGGCTAAATGTACCTTTTGAAAAAATAGAAACCAGATAGAATATTTCCTATGCCACAGTTAGACAGTGAAAAGAAAAATAGAGAATGGCATATGATTGAGGATAACATACTCTACAGCTGTCAGAGTCGGAGGACCAACTATCTTCCTCATACGCATCATCCAGAAAGTTCTCGTTGTATTCAGAAGAGCTATCGTCAGAATTAATGCAGGGTTGAGGGCTAGCACTGGGTTGTTCTTCAGGAGAGTCTTCAAGGGCCTGCAACATCCGAAGACAAATGAAAAGTATGAATGTATGATTAATACTGCTAAAATTTATGCAAAGACCATAATTTTTCTATTTTTCTTCTTCTGTATTGGAGATGATTTTTTTTTTTTGTGGGGGGGGGGGGGGGGGGGGTTTAGTATTAGTTTATTAGAGGGTCATTACTCGTGAAAAAATGGAAGGAGAAGTCATGCATATTCATAATACAGTTCAAGCTTGCTAACAGAGTTGTGCAGACTGGACAAGGAACAGTTGGCATCATTTATTGCACAGTCAACACCTAGGAATCCAGTGTTCACATGGCCCAATCTCTACATTAATAGGTGTCACCATCTCATTTAAAACCCTGATTGATCTAAACTTTACTCGGAACATGTAAATGAGCTTCTCTCTATAAACCATGTTATGCAAGTGGTGGCATCTATAGGCAACTATTAGAAGAACAAAAGGTGGTTGCCAAATGAGGAGTGGATTGAACCATCTTCGTTCCCTCAGACAGTGGCCTTCTATTACAAAATCTAATATAAGCAGTTTGAAAACAATGAGGCAGACATTATGCACCTTGAATGTCAAAAGAGCATCCAACACCAAATCTGAATCTTCTCCTGCGTCCCAAGTCACATAAACATAAATGCCACAAAAGAAAAATCAAAATTTTTAGTTGTATAAAGACTAGTCAAATTCAAATACCATTTTGCTCTATTGCTTTTGCAATAGATGCTTCAGGAAATCCCATCACTACAAACTGCTGAATGAACTTGGACTGACAGGGTACTGATGATGAGCTTGCCTTCAGGTAAGAGAACAAAAATGACCATAAGTTGAGATGCAATGGTGTGAACTATTTTTTCTTTCCTTTTTTTGGGTTAAAAAAAGATGTCCTTGACAAGAAATATCAGTAGGTATCAACATAGGCTTAAAGCATTTACCTCCCCATCACATCTAACAGTATGCTGTCCAGTAGTTCTTAAATCCATGCATGAGGAAAATGTTGTGTCCTGTATTTCCTGTATTTCTAATTCATCTTCAGTATCCCAGTCAATGTTGTCATTGTCTTCTGGAGAAAGATTGTTGTCCTGCATGGGATTGAAACAAGAAATACAAACAAAGAATAAATGTTTTTTCCTCCATTTATCAAATATCTGAATAAAACAGAAACATATACTTTCTTTTCTGATTTATAAGACCAGAAGGAATTCGAAAACTTGCAGTGTAAGGGAATCGAGAAACGAACTAAATTTACCATTTCTCAAGGTAAGCCTGAAAAAGAACTCCAAATTGTTGAGCACCCTACATAACACCAGAAGGTAAACGTGAATTACTGCCATTAAAGCTCCACAGAGCAATCATCAAAGCTAAAAGTTAGCCCATCGTATCTCACACAAAAAACTCCAAAATAAAAGTTACTTCATGTATTGGCATTGAAGCAGGAGGAGATAGCACTTAAGTTCTTTCCTTTTGGACACAAAAGAATATATATGATACCTTCTTCAATTAATTAACATAAGTACAAAAAGCAATTTCCAATCTCATTCACTATAACAAGGCCTATATCGAAAAGGAAATGAAGAGACTTTGCTCCTAGATTTATTATTCCTTTGATCATATGACTTTGCTCCTAAATTTAAACATGTATCGTTCAGTATTATAATTTTCGCTACTAAATTATTTAAGATGCTCTCTTAATCAAAGTATTGATGACGAAAAGGACATGTTAATTATTTGTGATGTTAGAATAAGAGGGATTGAAGAACTAATACCATGCGCTTTATGTTTTCACTTGATAATCGTTCATGCTTTAATCTGGGTCCTATTTACATAATTTCCAATATATTTGCATTTCTAAGTTCATATTTGATTTCAACTTGAATTGCATTTCGACTTAACTTGCAACTCATCCAAATTTAAAAAAGAGGCCACCTCAAACAAGTTTTGTTTGATGGAATCAATGACACAAATCATAAGAGAGCAAGATCGTATGTCTCCGACTGATTCCTCTTTGGCACCAACAGTGGCAGTGAGATAATACTAACATCAATATTACCAGGTCTATGAAGACTTAACTTAAAAAGGTTAGTCCTGAAGAACTCTCCATGGAATTGTTAAACTATTGACTCTTTCCAATTTACTTCTGTTAGAAAAAATTCAAATGTGCATCCAAAACAACCCCAAAAATTGTCGAGCTTTCTCAAACCTTCAAAACCTCCTACTTGCCTACTGTTTCACCCTCAAAAATATGACAAGACTTAAAATATTTTTCACTATCATTTAGGTTCAATGATTATAGAGGAACCACAGTTTCCTACATCAATATGGTAAAAGTTCCCCAAATATTACAAACAGGATATTCATCCTCATGAAGAACTTGAAGAAGTTGCAGAATTCTGATAAATAGCTTAAACTACTCAAGGGAGGGAGTAATTAAATATCCTGTGATTTGGACGAGCAGTCACGGTGAAACATGATAAAAAGGGATTTCATAAGCCCATGCTCACCTTTCAACAACCATCCAGCCGGAGATGATAGAAAGTTTCTCAAGGCTACCTCCTTGTTATTATCTTGAAAACTTAGGGATACAATTTTTCCTTTTCTAAGCTTGTTCTCTACAATATTCTAAAGATACCAAGAGTGCTAACAAGTACTCAACTCAAGATAGAAGCAATTTTGATACACTGATTTTCTGTGGGGCAGACAGAAATCAGGTGCTCTTTTTGAACCTAACTCTACTTATTTTTTAAGCTCTTGCAGGTTTGCATATCAACATGCTCAAGAGTGTGATTTACCCCGTAAATGAGGTGCATAACCTGGAGGAATTGGCAGGAATACTGGGCTGTAGCATAGGGACTTTCCCAACTACCTATCTGGGGCTTCCACTAGGGGCCAAATTTAAATCAGAAGCTATATGGAATGGGATAATTGGAAAGTTTGAAAAAAAAGGCTAGCATCATGGCAGTTGCAATATATATCAATAGGTGGAAGATTGACCCTGATTAATAGTGTCCTTGATAGCATCCCCGCTTACTCTGTCACTATATTCGATGAGTAGTAGGGTCCTGAAACAACTTGACAAGATCAGAAGGAAGTTTCTGTGGGAAGGGAACAACAAGGAACACAAATTTCATCTGGTCAAGTGGTCTAAGGCAATTACTAAAGCACCAACGCGGATTAGGCATAAAAAATGTAGCGCTTCATAACAAATGCTTGTTAATGAAATGGCTATGGAGGTACACACAGGAGGAGCAATGTCTTTGGAAGGAAGTTGTCAACGCCATACATGGAGTCCTGAATCATTGGGGCACTAAATTATCAAGAGCACCCCATGGAGTTGGAGTCTGGAAGACCATTTGTAAGCTATGGGAAGAATTCTCAGTGAACAAACACTTTGTAGTAGGGAATGGTCAACATATCAAGCTTTGGAAGGAAAAGTGGTTAGGAAGCACTGGTTTGATGAATGACTACCCTGCAATATTTCAGAAAGCCATAGATCCAGATTCAACAATCTTGCAGTGTAGGAAGGGCGACACCTGGAACATACTATGCAGAAGGGCAGCCCGGTGCACTAAGCTCCCGCTATGCGCAGGGTAAGGGGAAGGGCCAGAGCCTTACCCTACATTTCTGCAAGAGGTTGTTTTCACGGCTCGAACCTGTGACCTCCTGACCTCCTGATCATATGGCAACAACTTTACCAGTTTCCCAATAAAACCTTAACTTATCCCACCCCCCCCCCCCAAAAAAAAAAGAAAAAGATTACATAGAAGCTTGTATATCTTGGATAAAAAAAGATTCTTGGTTTCTTATAAAACATACATTTTCCGGGTTCATACTTTAAGATTTAAGAAGCACAGAAAATACTTGATATGTAGTATTCTTCATGTGAACTAAACATATATTTGTATCTTAAAATTCATGTTAACTTTCTTATAAAATGAATGGAAAATCTCCAATAATAGCCTAATTTTGATCAGTGTTCACTATTTAGTTTCCTTTTTAGAGTAACCTTCATATTTCAGTTTGTCGGCATAAGCACTTAATGGAAGAAATTTGGGGCTGTTTTTTCTCTATATAATCCTATATATTTTACCACGGTGCACTAAGTCAAACACTAGACAAGAATTTTAATGCAAAAATTAGTTCATTTTGGAGTCAATTTCTGCAATTAAGGGATTAGGTTTTGTTTTTTCCTATCAATTTTAAAATAAAGCTTCAATTGCACCAAAAAATTTAACATGCAGACATAAATTAGGTTTTTCGACATTCATTACTGATTACAAGTAAGCAAACGACTGAATATTTTAAAACCATAAAAATTACCTGAGAATTTTTGACGATCAAGGTCGTCAAGCAACTTTAAGCTATTTTAGAAATCTACTTAATATCCTGCATTACCCAAAACCCCAGACAAAAAAGAAAGTTAAAAAATTAGGATAAAAAAACCACAGTTTCAGCAAATTCAAAAACCCAAAAAAAAAAAAGGTTCTTTCGTTTACAAAGTGAAAATGAAAAGAGAAAGATATACCAGAGATAATTGATTAGAGAGTGAAGAGTGAACAAGGAAGATGAGTCCTAAACGAGATTTTGTTGTGGAGTAAGAGTTAGGAGGAGTCAGAGAGATTCCCTGTGGATTTTAACGCAATACTCTTTACTTGAGAGGGACGAACAGGGGTAATTTTGAAGAATCACCTCTTCAGCCAGGGGCAACATAGTCTTTTGGTTTTGCGAACCATTCTTTACCCTAGCTACTAACTACACAGCCTAGTAATTATACGTAATTATGACAACCTGTTTGTTTGTCATACTATAATTACGGTGTAATTACATATTTACTGTTTGGTTGCACAAGTATAATTATACAGTTAGATTAAATTTTAAATTAAGTAATTATCAACACTTAAAAGTTAATAATAAATATATACCTATAAATTTTTATAACTATAAATGATATTATATTTGGTATTTAAGATGTATATTTTTTTCGTGAATATATATTAGTTTAGTAATCATATATTTATAACTAATATTGTAAAAATAATTTATATATATTCTTTAAAATTAATAATATTTAGTTTAGATTCTTACAAAAATTAAAAATATACGTTTTGTAAGAACATCATAGAATTCATGTTTGATAAAATAAATTAATATTTATAAATATAATGTCATAACATTATTCAAATATTTCACAAAACTAATCTATCAATTCTAACTAAAAAAAAATAACATGCAATGTGAGCCAACACTACTAAAACAAGTAAATTGGAATCATGAATACAACACAATTTTAAAATAAAAATAACAATAAAATAGTTTAACATATGTCAAATTCCAACATAATAATAGTAAGTTCCACTGCAACTTAAGATTAGGAAACATGATAAAGTTATAACCACATTCAACAATGAAATTCCACTTTAATTGCATCACTCATTATATGCCAAGTTTGTTAATGGCTCATTATTTCTAATATTAGGAGGTGTAGTTTCAAAAAATAAAATAAATAAAATAAATAATAAATAAAATATAAGCAATTACATGGAATCATAAGAAGTAAAGATAGAGAAATAAAAGATAAATAATGTACAAAGAAAAATATATTTTAAGTTTTCAAAAGAAATTGAAAAGTAAAAATAAAAAAATAAAAATAATAGAAACAAAAAGTTATAAAGCAAATAAATTAAAATAAAATGAAAAGGAAATAAACTAAAAAGCAACCTTGTTAGTTGTTATTACACAGTGTAATTACCATCAATTCTCACCTCCCCCTTGAGAATTGGAGAGTGTAATTATACCCCTCCAACTACACCCAGTTCCATGCTGACCAAGTAATTACTTGGCCAAACAAACATGCCAAAATGTGTAATTACACCAAAATCCATTTCCAAGGCTTTCTAAACAGGCTCTTAATATTTACTATTAATTCTAAATTATTGTGCTTATATTTTTCTTGAACTAAGGATTTACGGGAAACGACTTCTCTATCTTCATAAAATAAGGGTAAAATTTGTGTACATGTTACTCTTTCCAAATCGCACTATTTGGGATTATATTGGTATATTATTGTTGTTGTAAATTCTAACATAAAATCTTTAAATCTTTTGAATAAAATTTATATAATTAGAGATCACATAAAAATAAAATATGCCATAATAGTTAATTTTTCAAAGTATTTATAAAAATATGATCAAATAAAAGTATTTTTAACTCTCTCACATCAAATGAAACAAAGAAAATAAAGTATCGAAGTTCGTGCGTTCTGAATTCCTAATCTATGCATCTAACTAGATTTCGAAGAAAGATGATTAATTTGTTACTGGAAAAAGAGTGCTGATGTAACAATAGTCATGATTATGAGATTAATAGTTTCCATCACAAAGTCCTAATTCTTACATTTAAGTTGTTAAATCCTCAAATAAAGCCCCAAATCCATTAGGCTATGAAACAAATTCGTATAACACCTTCAAGATATCACCTTTAGCATTTCTTTTGGGGCTATTTCTATTTGGTAAAAATAGTGATATATATTTATATAGTCTAGATTGTCAATGAGACAAAGAAAAAGAAAAAGATTGTCAATGATAACGTTTTTTTTATTTACTGGCAGTACGATATTTTTCATCGGTTACTTTATTAAGAGATATAACTCTCAATATTTGTCACTTTAAAAGATTAAGAGACATTAATTTTATTCCAACTTAATCGTTTCAAAAAGTCATATAGCCATTAATTACTTAATAATAGTTATTTGGTCAAACACTAATGAATGCAATAAAATAATTTTCTTAAATGATCCGGGGTGGCTCAAGCACATTCGAGACCAAAGTTTAATATGAGATTTAAATTTTTAAAAGAAAGTTATAAGATATGTTTTTATTTGAAATCTATTCCTCTTACTTTTTGAGATACAAAGTTATTAATAATCTTTTTTATAATCGATTTTCTCTAATAGTTCTTTTTCAATTGATAACATAGCGAACTTATTTAACCTTTCTTGAGATATTGTTGATCTTAGATAAGATTTTAGAGAGCAATAGAAGTATAGAATTATTGGAAGCTTATTGTTGAACACTTGAAATAATCAAATATTGGAGAAAGAAAGTAAGTAATGAAATCTTGGAGAAAGAAGGTGAGTAAGAATATTACTGAGAAAGAAAAAGAATATGTAAGGGTTTCTAAAATATGAAGAGATTGGGAAAAAATATATTGATTTGAACAAATTAAGAATGGAGAGTAAAATTTTGACATGTAATCTAATAAAAAAAGTAAAAAAATTAAAACATTGGAAAAAAATATTCATCTACCTATTTTTTAAGTAAGTCAAATTATTACTTTGTTTATATATCTAGAGAGCCTTTTTTTGTATTAGAAATTTTATTTTTATAAACTTATTATTTTTTTTGAAATGGGGCCTCCCAAATTTGGGGAGCAAGGCACAAGCCTTACGTTCATAACTTTAGAACCGGCCTGACACGAAACAGTATATATGTGGAAGCAAGTGAAAAGAAAGTAAAATAAATTCTATACTCTCGAAAGTAGGCATTGGTCCTGACATCCCTGCAACTATTATTCTCAATAAAAATGCCCTACTTATTTCTTATGAAATTACTCTCGAGTCCTGTTTAAAATAAAAGTATCGATTAAGCGTGGAGTAGTACTAATAAATTAATTAGACATTGTTATTCTTTAGGCAAATAGCTAGCCTTGTCAAATCGCACATGCTTAGTTAAAGCAGGCATTAGCCGGCTGACTTCACAACTTCAACATCCTATAAAAATATGCTCCTACATATCTTTAAAACATCGATCCAGCTTAACAAAAACATTCTACAAACAGAAAATCAAATTAAGAAAGCTTTCAAAAGCAATACACAATTGACAATTCCACTAGTACTTCCAAATGGCGGCCTTGAAAGATTTCTTGATTGCACTTGTTATAGTTATAGGGTAAAATTTAACCCTCAGTATCTCTACGCTAGCGGGCGCGCCCAATGAGTGTACGCCGACCAACGTAGCGGGTACGACTCGGCCGTGAGGACAAAAGCAGCGTCGTTTAGAACTCAGCGTCTACACTAGAAAGACGTTACCTATCTCTGTAACTTTTTGATTCTTTCGAGGAAGGTCTTCTATTATATAAAGGAGACCTCCACATTGTAAAGGGGGGCTATCTGATCTAATACAACTCTCTCATTTTCTATCTTTCTCTCTCTATATCTCTACTTCCGATTAATATATCTTATGAACATACATTGTCATCCTTCTAACACTGGATCTATAACAAACATTATCATCTTTGCATCTCTAGGATTATTATATTTGATTACGATTTACCCTTCCTCTATTTTTTGATTGTTTTATCGCTTACAAAGTGCATCAACAACTTTTAAGTCAAAACCATAGTATCCACCTAGAGATCAACCAACCACTATTCTCTACACCACTCAAAAACAGGAAATGGCCGAAAACAACGCCAGATCGAAAGCCATAATGGGTGTCACAACCAATCTCCTAGGTCCTCTCAACGAGGCCAGTGATGATGGCATCCTGAATGAAACCCCAAGCATCACACCAAGTGCAGAGATCTCTCCTTCCCCATCCGAAGGTCTGACGATCTTACGCAAGGGAGCTTCCACATCTACAGCCACGGAAGCACCCTCCGCGGTCAAAGAGCTATTGGAAAGATGGCTAACAAGCGCTTTAAGTGGCTTGATTGAAAAGCCACCGCAAAGTAACGTCGTATTTACACCAACGGTAGGTACCATTGCTGCGGTGGGTGAACCAGAAGTTACACTGGTAAATAACAGACCCATCGAGACGCAAACCAACGATGGCACGCTAACAGCCATCTTAAAGAAGATTGAAGAAATAGAAAATGAAAACGAGGCACTCCGCGATCAGATGAAGGAACATCAAGAGAGGGTCGACAAGATCCCCGGTGCTCCCAAGTTACTACCAAAACGCGACGTAGGAAGATTCGTCGAACAACCATACACCGAAGAAGCTGCTCCTCACTCCACCCCTAAAACCTTCAAAATGCCTCCATACTTGAGGGTCTATGACGGAACCACCGATCCCGAGGACCACCTGATCCACCACGTCACTGCCGTGAAAGGCAACGACCTATCAAAAGAACAGGTACCTTCAGTACCACTGAAGAAGTTTGGCGAGACATTGACAGGAGGGGCCTTAACATGGTACTCTCAGCTACCGGCTAAAGCGATATCAACGTTCGAGGAAATGGCGGATAAATTCGTCACAGCCCATGCAGGCGCGAAGAAAGCAGAAGCCAGGGTAAACGACATCTTCGCCATCAGGCAAAACGCAGGCGAGGGACTCAGGGACTTCCTGGCAAGGTTTAACATGGTAAGAATGAGCCTACCAAATGTATTGGAGGGTATGGCAGTCGCCGCTTTCCAGAACGGGCTAAGCAGAAATGGTTCAAGGGCGACCAAGAAACTGCTGAGCCGCCTCATGAAATATCCCCCTACCACATGGGAGGAAATCCATAACGCTTATTGCGCAGAGGTGCGAGCGGACGAGGATGACCTAAACGGGCCGACCCAACGGTTAACGGCGATACATTCAGAAACGAGGAGAGATCGACGGAACGAAGGACGACAAGAACCACTCCCTCGTTCCAACAGAGAGCGA